AATAACCTAACGTACTACTATATATATATATATATATATATATATATATATATATATAGGTTTGGTTAAGCTACACCACAAGTGCTTAACATGCTCTACTATTTTTAGAAATTTAGATACCGTTATCCTATAGTACAGTAACTTTTTGTTTAGGGGTATTTTAAGTAATTAGTCAAGAGTAACCTAATAATTCTTAATAGAAACAAAAATATTTATTAACAATAGTGGACAATGACATCACAGATATAATGTGTGACATCACCCACAAGATGTGTTAATTGTTTTTAACTACTAATAGAATGCTACTATTTTGTTATAAAAATATTCATTTTTAAATGGCCAAAAATGCCCTTACTTGAAAAATTTTGTATTACAATTTAAAGGTATTTTAGTATTAAAAAATGTTGAGCACTTTAATAGTCTACACTTGGTGGTGTAGCCTAACAAAACCCTTATGTACTTATTTATTTAAATAGTAGAGATAGAAAACTCGTTAAACTTAAGAGTCAAAGAGCAAAGAAAGAGTTGTCAAAAATTGGCCCGAAAATTCTTTGGATTCTATAGCTAATTTTCAAATATAGCTCACCATGGGCTGGGCTAGTTGTGGCTCTAGTCGGGCTCCAATGCTTATAGGGTCAGCCCGAGCCTGTCCTAGCTTGGGCCATGCCCAAGAGAGACTAGCACAAGCCCGACCCTAGCCTTGTTCAGGCATGGCTAAGGCTAATAACCTAATAAAAAAGTCGGCAAAATTAAAAGAAGAAAAAAATCGAGCTGGGCCAAGGCCAGCGATATCACGGTCTTCACTCAGGCGGCCTTTTCGGGCGTAGCTTAGCCCGGCTACATTTTGTGGGTAGGCCCTAGTTTTTTTTAGGATCTGAACAAGTCACACCTAAGAAAGGAAATTATATACATTTTTTATATTAATCTGATAGACAATATATATGTGAAAAGAAAGTGTATATTGTGATCCGTATATATAAAAAGAGTATATACAATGATCATAATTATATTTTATTTTTTAAATATTATATTGATCACAATATGCACTTTCTATATATATACTCATCAGAATATACGCCTTCCATATTAACTTGATCTTCCATATTAAACAGATATCTAAATCGTTGGCAGCCGTTTAACCCAAGAAAACTGACCCTATTTAAACCCCTCCATTCCACATCCCGCCTTCCAATCTCACGTACAAAAACCCACCCAAAAAAAGAGGACAGAGAGAAAGAGAGCTTAGAGAGAGAGCGCTTCTGTTTCATCAAATTTGCAGAAGGCATCAATGGCGTCTTTCTGCATTCCAAAAATGCCCCTGGCATTGTTCTTCGTCCTCTCCATGGTCCTTCATGGGGCACTCGGTATGTAAAAACTCATGACTTTTACTTCTTTTTAAAACATTCTTTTTAAAATCTTCTTTTTAGGTCGAAGATTGCATAAGATTTGTTGAAGTTTTGGCTGAATTGAAGAGAGCTTCATTGTCATTGTTGTTGTTATTGTTGTTGTTATTATTGTTGTTATTATTGTTATTATTATTATTGTTATTATTATTATTATTATTATTATTATTATTATTATTATTATTATTATTATACCCCCCTTTCCGGCCGTCCAATGTTATTGGGAAACGTTTATGTATTTCTCCTGCAATGTACAAGATATATACTCCCCCTTCTGGCCGTTCAATCTAGATTAAGTGAGCCACTCACCATTTGATCTAGATGTAACGCTTCAGAATATTTTATTTTTAATTTTTTTCTTACAAATTTATGAATATAAAATTCAGTATGCCCCATCTTTTAAATGGGACGCACCTAAATTTTTTTTTCGATAAAATATAATGACTAAAATACCCTTTGAGACATTCAAAGGTATTTTGGTTATTTTATTGAAATTATTAGTTTGATATATTTTTACAAGTGCGAGTTTGATATATTCTTACAAGTGCGAGTTTAATATAGAGTGACCCCAAAATTTGGTGTCAAAATATTTTGTAGAAAAAATTAAAAATATAAGTGTAGCGATATGATGTTGTGATTGGGTCATCTCAACTATTATATATAAGTTTTATACGGTGGGGTAAACATAGAAACCATTTTGATACGCTAAAAGATTTCCTACTCCTGCGGAAGTATACTATCCATTTACTCCCTTAGGTATGACATATGAGGAATACTTTTTAGAATTCAAAACTTGGGGATGTAATCTCTACACCCCATAAACCAATGTTAATGAATTTTTTTTCTAAAATAAACTCATTGTGTACTAAATAATGCCTCAAGTTTGAATAGTCTCTCTAATTTTTGAAGAGCTAAACTACGTGTCATAAAACTCAAAATTCAAATTTGTTATTTTGGGAACTATAAATCTTATATGGTCATCAAAATTTTAAACTAAAATATTTGTTCTTAAGAGGTGTTTTGCACAAGGGAGTAGACGTACGATAGATAAATTTCTCTGTTCATTTTAGGGAAAAGTTTATATAAAGTTGTAACCTTAAAATGTAGAATCCCAAATGCACTTCAAAAATCTATTGGAAATGTTGTTTTAATGTTGAATAAACTCTCTAATCGATCATCTTGACATTAAGATGTATGAATATTAAAAAAAAAGTTTGAGTCCTAGAAATAGTGCATCTTGCAACACATTATCGAGACTATCTGTTTTCAAGATTTTTATATATTTATAGATCTACTTGATTCTAACTATTTTTAAAATTTAAAATTTTCTAATTAGGTATGAAAATAGATTTTAAGATAATACTAGGAATTTTCTACAACAAAATTACATGTTATGATAAAATTTTTAAGGTACGGCTTAATTGGATTGTTTAAGGTTGCATCCTTATAAAAACTGCACCATTCTTTTTAAGGCAAAGTATATACCATTTATCTTTGGTATAAGGTGGTCACAATTAATCTTAACTATTGGATGTGAAATTAGATGGTTGCATTTATTCCATTGACCAAAACTCAAATCTCAAAGATAATTTCTCTAACTGGGAATATTGGATTTACATCAGATGGTTTTACATAATTGTGACCAGCTTGAAATATAAGACAAATGATCTCATTGTATACAATCCTTGTTTTTAAATTTCAAATCTAGTGTGGATGGCAAAATAGTCTATTACAATAAATTGTTATGAAATTCCAGGTCTCTGGAGTAGCTATTTGATATAATGTACCATTTTGATATTCCCTTTCGGCTAATTTTAAACCAGGATGTTAGTGATTCCTGCCCATGTACCCTTTACCTCCAACCATGGAGACCAAATCTTTCTCTCTCTCTCATTCTGTGTGTTCCTAAACACTGGCCTCCATGTTTTCGCAGCTGAGATCGTATGCGAGAATTTGTCGAAGGAAGAGTGTGCCTTTTCAATTTCATCAGCTGGCAAGCGATGTGTCCTAGAGAAATATACAGGGAATGATGGTGAAGAGGGAGAGTTCAAGTGCACCTCCTCTGAGGTGGAGGTCGAGAGGCTCAGCGAATGGATCGAGATCGAAGAGTGTATTCAATCATGTGGACTTGATAGAAACTCTGTCGGGATCTCGTCGGACTCACTCCTCGATCCCCAGTTCACTGCTAAGCTTTGCGCATCACCTTGCTTCGACAATTGTCCTAATGTTGTCGATCTCTACTTCAATCTTGCAGCTGGAGAAGGTATTGACATCTAACTTTTTTTTATTTTTTTTTCTCGTTGGGTTGATATAAAGTAAAGGGAAATTAATCAAAATATACCAAATCTTAACGTTTTAATTTTTGTTTAATTTAAAGAAGTCCACCAAAAAAACACATCATAAATAGTTGATCCAGCGTTTTAAAAAACGCCGAGTCGAACCGGACTCGCCCGGTTCGACTCGGAAATCGTGAAAAGGGACCGGATCGCCTAAAAAATCGGAAATCGTCCGGTTCTAGAGAGAACCGGACGATTCTGTACAGTGAATCGGCGATTCACTGTACGGAATCGGCGAGTCCGAATAGTGAATAGGCGATTCCGTACGGAATTTTTTTTTTTTTTTGTAATCCATGATAGATTTTTTTTGTAATACTTGATCGATTTTTTTGTAATCCATGATCGAATTGTTTTTG